CTCTTCCCGACCGTTGGAAAGGCACGTCCAGCAACCGCGAAGACGCAAAGCCACCTCCTAGGTCCCAAAGCTTCGTCGATATTGGTTGTTCTTCTTTATGTAATATCGAAACATGAGGTCTTTTGCTAGGATGGTCCAGCTTCGGCCGTGTTAGGCCGACCTCTTTCGGCGCTCGCTAGAAGCGCGTTGCATGTTTTGTTTAAACTCTTCTTAATACAATGATATGCAAATATTTTGCGTATTCGAGAAAAAAAAAACCACTATGTAGTCTCCATGATAGAGAGGATCGGGCTAGCTTTTTGTTTTGGCCATGAGAAGTGTAGCAAGCACAGTACTCATTCGAGTCTAGGGAAGAACAGTGGTCTTGTGTCGCCATTGGGTGCATACAAGCCTCGACAAGGACACGGTTCAACATGGTGCATGCCTAGGATCATAGCAGTGATCGATCATTTCATCTCGAGGAGGACTATCTGATGGATGAAGAATTGAAGCACATGACGTGATGTTCTCCTAGCAGCAAGTCGTCCAAATGATTGTACAACCAGATATATGTCTTGTTGCAATGGACGGGTATGTCAGTACGTCAGTTAGTAGTTTTTGATGTCCCACAAGGCCACAAGGAACCGGCTCTTCTTCCATCTTTGGCAAACTCTAGCAATCGAGCTCTCTGGACACCGGCACGATTCCGACATGTACGATAACGGTGAGCATGAGCATGCGTATAAAACAGTGAAAGTATAAGAGGGTTTACACCGGCAGGGATTGATTCTCTCCCATTTTTTGACAACACAACACATCTGCAGGGACCTCCATCCTCCCCATTTCGGCCCTGGGGCCCACCCGTCACTCACCCTCCAGGCCACTCCGCTCCACCTCCCGACAGGGACCTCCAGAGCCTTCCTTCACTTCTCCCGAATGCTCCAACCCATCCAATCGCACGCCACCGCGTGCTGCTCTCTGCTCAGAGGTGCTAGATCTCGGAGTCGCCATTGATTTGATTCCAAGAAAGACCGCGAGTAATCCATAGATTGACCGGTCGAGAGCGAGAGAGAACGGATTGATTCCTGATTGGTAGGTGGAGACCGGAGTCAGAGGAGCTCATCAGCTCGCAGCTCAGGGTCCCGGGGGATTGATGCTTGCGTGGTGATGCGGCCGCGGGCGATGGGGCTGAGCAGCATCCGGCGGAAGGTGCTGGCCTCCGCCGTCTTCACGGCGCTCTTCGTGGCCTCCATCCTCCTCCTCCCCTCGCTCCTCCTCACGGGCAGCACCGGCGGCCCAGCCAGGAGGTGGCCGTTCCTGTTCCTGTCCCCGTCGACGTCCGCCGACGAAGGCGAGGAGCAGCAGCAGGCGCGGTACCCCGTGAGGTTCGCGTACCTGATCTCGGCGTCGACGGGGGACGCGTCCCGCGCGGCGCGGCTGCTGGCGGCGCTGTACCACCCGGCGAACACCTACCTGGTGCACCTGGACCGGGAGGCCCCCGCGGAGGAGCACCGGCGGCTGGCGGAGCTGGTGTCCGGGTCCGTGTACGCGCGCGCGGGGAACGTGTGGATCGTCGGCAGGCCCAACCTGGTCACCTACCGCGGCCCCACCATGCTGACCACCACGCTGCACGCCGTCGCCGTGCTGCTCCGCCTCCGCCGCCGCTGGGACTGGTTCATCAACCTCAGCGCCTCCGACTACCCGCTCGTCACCCAGGACGGTAATACGTCTATATGCTGTTGATGCTTGCTTGTTGTTGGTCCTCAACTGAATGAAGTGTTTCTGAATTTGGGGTTGCAGACTTGATGGAGGCGTTCGCCGGGATGCCCAGGGACCTCAGCTTCATCCAGCACACAAGCCACCTGGGCTGGAAGATGTAAGAACTCTGTCCTGCCACCTGAATCTGAACTCTGCCAGCGACCATTCATCCATCATCGATTCACTAGTCTAAACGGCACAAAGACAGACACGGCCTTTGTTGAGCAAAATGGAGAGTGTAACGGGGGATTGAACTGATGGTAGCTCTGCAGAAAGAAGCGGGCGCGGCCGGTGATCCTGGACACGGCGCTGTACGAGGACGGGAGGGCGGAGCTCATCCGCCCGGTGAACATCACCAGCAACCTCAGGAGGCTGCCCACGGCCTTCAAGCTCTACACAGGTACTACTCGATTTTGCTTGCCACTCCTTTTTCCTTGCATAAAAAAAGGGAGTTTTTGCACGGATTCGAACTATTCTCCGCACAATTAATTTCCACTCCACCAAACGAGTCCGAAAACCTGCCTTGTGGTACATTGTAAGCATGCTTGTTAGTAACCCGATTAGGACAGGCATGTTTCGTCATAGCGGTTGTTGATCGGACGGTACGGTACTCCCCGCGGCGCCGACTCTCTGGTGTGGTGTGGTGTGGTGTCGTGAGTAGTGACACAACGCACCCGATTAGGAGTATGCTGCCATGCCAGTGGTTGCTCTCAGACAGACTTGGCTGTCCTTGGATTTCGATCGAGTGAGCCCGTCCGTGGTCGACGAATTCCGGTCCGTCCCAAAAACAATCTTATCTGGAATGGCGGCTAGTCAATGCAGCAGGTGAGGTGGCGCAGTTCGCGTACGGATCCACCTTCATCGCAGCGCAGTTGATTATTCCCTCAGATCTGAACCAGCGGTGATCCACGCTTGTTTATGCTTTGGAGCTCGCGAATCCAGCCAGAGACCATTGCATTGGCAATGGCAAAGCCAAAGATGCATGCATTCCTCTTTGATTTTTTTTTGGTACTAATAAATAATGTCTTCTTGCTTCCAAGAAACGGCACCAAACCAACGCCGACATCCATCTTGCAATCTTGCTTTGCAGGGTCGGCGTGGACGATGCTGTCGCGGTCGTTCGCGGAGTACGTGACGATGGGGTGGGACAACCTGCCGCGGACGCTTCTCCTCTACCACGCCAACATCATCTCGTCGCCGGAGTTCTACTTCCAGACGGTGGCGTGCAACTCGCGGCGGTTCCGCAACGCCACGGTGAACCACGACCTGCACTACATCCGGTGGGACACCCCGCCCAAGCAGCACCCGCTGTACCTCACCGCCAGGGACTACCGCCGGATGCTCCTCAGCGGGGCCGCCTTCGCGCGCAAGTTCAGGGAGGGCGACCCGGTCCTGGACCGGGTGGACAGGGACATCCTGCGCCGACGGGAGCCCGGGCACTTCGCCTACGGCGGGTGGTGCTCCGGCGGCGACGAGGGCGAGGGCGAGGGCGAGGGCGGCGGCGGCGTCGCGCTCTGCTCCAACCCGCAGGAGGAGCCCGGCAGGCGCGGGGCCATCATCAAGCCCGGCGCTGGATCCAGGCGGCTCAAGGCGATGCTCAGCAAGATGATGTCGCCAAGGAATTTCAGGAGGCAGCAGTGTAGGTGAAATGCATTGCATTGGGTTACACTGCAGCATTGCACTCTACACTTCACTAGTTCTTCTGATCAAACAAGTTTTGGTTCATAAATTGACACAAGTCTGAATGAATTAGGGAGACACAGATACTCCTACTGATCACCTAATACACAGAACAATAATTTGACCACATTTCCATTCAGCTTGCGTGCACTTCCCTCTTGTATATCAATCAAGCAGCAATGAAACCAAATTTTACTTTGGAACCTCAAAACAGCCTGGGCAATATATATATCACTGATTGATGGAATCCTGTGGGCCAATTTGCTTGCACGTGTCAGCGACACATGCCGATTTTGTTCATGGAAATGGGCACAATCTCCATGGCCTATTCCTCGGTAAAATTCTACTTTCTACTAGTAGTTCAAAATTACTAAAAAAACATGAGCACCTATGAAGCTACTTTTTAACCATGGAACAGTGTTTTTCTCTTACAACATTTCAGCATAAACATCAGCATAAACCAAATTTCAGCATAAGCGAACAGGGTGAAGCCGAGTACACTTAATAACTTAATTATGTAAGAATCCTAAATGCTTTGGCATTGTATATGGCAAAAGTACAACACCACACCCACACTACCTGAGCGAAGATGGCATTATCCAAAAAAAGGGTGATCGGGTGAAGAACTTTATGGTATAAAACACGGCATGGGCTTCATCTCCTTTACCAATTACCATCAAGCAGGCACGCAGGCACCAGGGCAACGACGCCAATCGAGGACAAGCATATCACATTCACAGCTCACACCAGCGATGTAGTATTTCTGCAAAACTTGTCGGTGACAAACAGCAAAGCCAAGGAGTGAAAACAATTGCTTTCTCGCAGACAAGAGGTTGGACGTCCTGGCCATCTTTTGCATTGCAGCAAAAAGGCCAACCTTTCAATCGGGCCAATCATTGTTACCAGATGGACATCGAAGTCGTTGCGCCGCGGTGGAGGGAGCCCAGTCCAGTGCTAGTACTCTACGGCCCCTCCATCTTTTTTTGAGGTTTAAAATTTGTTCTAAAAAAAATTCAAGATTTTACAAGACTGTCTTCTAATGCGGAAGCTAATCATGCTGCATACAAACTGTCATATTTTGCCAGTGTCTTTAATCTATTTGAAATTTTACAGAAAGTTGTTTATTTTAGAGCGAAGAGAGTATATCAAAGCTACATATTTTATTAACAGTGAAACACCCACAGGCTACATCTCAAAAATGGGATTATTCGGAACTCACAACAAACTTTTGGCGTCGGTGCTCTATTAACATGATGAAGACTGAAACTTGTTGTGACTTGTGAGCACATTAAACTACCGGAAGTAACAAGACCTACTACAGCCACCCTGCCTTTCCATGTCCTAAACGGCGCCGTGGTCTACTGCCCGCCGTCACCCCTGCCATGCCACGCCGTCGCCTCAGCCGCTGCCACCAATGCATCTTGTTGGCCCGCACCCGGCTGGCCTTCCTCCTCAGTTTTATGCCTGCCGGTGCCCTCCGCTTGCCCTTCAAGTGCCGCCGCACTGCGTCGAATAGCGCGTGCATGTTCCCGCCACCGCCGCACCTCTTCTCCGGCACGCCTACCACCGTCCGGCGCCTAGTGTTCTTATCTTTCCCTTTCGCGCGGTGGAACATGCTCGTAAGGTACTGCCACGGCGAGTTGAGGTGGCCTGCGCCGCGGACGACGCTCCTGGACGAGGGGCCCGCCTCCTGGCCGCCCCCGAGGTGGTGGTGGTGGTCGTCGTGGCGGTGATGGAACACCGTGGCGATTTTGTCCATGAGCATCCGCAGCCGCGCCACCCGCTTCTCGAGGATTTCCTGGCGACGTCGCCTCCTCATTGAGCGCGACACCTCAGGTGTGCACACCGGCGGCGAGTAGTAGTAGGGATTAGGAAAAGCACGTGGCGCTGGAGATGCCGATGAGCTTCCGCTGCTGCTGGACATGTCCGCGCTGGAAACGTCGCTGCCTTGTTGCCTCCCGCGCGATGTCTTCCCTTCTACGGAAAATCGGCGTCGTAGGGAGCGCTCCGTGAGAAGAGTGCTGCTTGGTCTGATGCGGCTTTGTATGGTTGCCACCGTGTTGCTCGAGGAAGAGCGTTCGGCACGCTCCACGCCATGACGCGACGTCATGCTCAGGGACAACCCAGAGTCCAGCCTCTCGAAGAGACGCACCGAGGAGGAGCTCTCCGCTCCCACGTGCCGCGGGGTAGCACGGCCACGCAGCCTTGACGACGACGCCAGAGACAGCTCCCGTGACACGGAACGCCGGCTGCTGCTCCTGCTGCTGCTACGTTCCAGAGAACACCGGTCACCACGGCCGGAGCTGCGACGGATGCTTTCCCGGCGGTCGGCAAGCCGAGTACTACTTCCGGCCACCGTGCCATGTCTCGACGTTCCAGCTACGGGGAAACGGTGGAGGCTGAGGCTGGAGTGCCACTGCTCTTGGCTTGGACGGTGTCGTGCCGGCAATGCGGTTCTCGACGAGCGGTTGGTAGCGAGGCGAGCAAGGAGAGGCTCTTCCGGTGCATGGTGATGGGCGTCGACGTGGAGGCCGGATCGGCGTGACACTGTAGAATGTTGCAGGTTTAGCCGGCGCGATGGCTCACTGGCCAGGAGGCTTGGTCTGGGTGAGGCCACTGGCCGCCTCGGGCACGGATCGGCATGCTGTGTCCGGCAGTCTGATTGCGTGGACAGCTTTCTCTCTAGCGCAGGGGACACTAGAGAACAACCTGATAGCATCTTTGCCTGCCTCCGGACAGCCTCCTGGGTAGCATCTTCTAGTATCTTCATCAGAAGAGCCCTGGACGCCTCATCTAAATTTTCACCTGCCGGACCCGGACCCTTGTGAAGCAGCCTGTATAGGCTCGTCAGCGCCTCCAGATCAGACAAAATCTGTTCCATCTCTGCTTCCTTGTTGTTAAGAAATGATGAACTTGCTTGATCTGTTTTCTTTGGAGACGTCAAACCAAGAGAAAACGGAACCACCGAATCAGAAGCCGTAGTAAGAGCCTTTGCCTGCTTCAGGAGAGCATCATCAAGCAACTTGTTCATAAGGGCCTTGGACGTCTCATCTAACCTTTGAAGCAGCCCGTATAGCTTCTTGAGCGCATGTAGATCAGACAATACTCTGTTCATCCCTGTTTCTTCTGGCACTACTCCGTCGTCGTTGTTCGTTGTTTTATCAATCTTCCTTAAGACAAATGGGAGTGGAAATCAGAAGCAATAGAAAGCCCACCAAATGCCGTGTGGCAAGGAACTCTGAAAAGGTTGCTGCCGTAAGAAATGGCGTGCGGTTCCTCCACCTTGTAGTTTGCACGACGAACTGACAAAGGGGCAGGACGCGGCCTGGCGGAGGAGCGAGAGGGCGCGGCTCGAGAGCGAGGAGGCGCGCGGCCTGGCGGCGGCGGACGGGCGGAGTCGCGAGAGGGAACCGTAACGCGCGGTTACTGCCTTCAGCCTTCCTGTGACAGTGTGCACCGCGTTCGGCTGTTCCAGTCCCGGATTATTTTGTTTCAGCTTATTCTTCCTCACCGTTTGTTTTACTCCAAAACCAAAGGGAATTGTGGATTAAATCTCGAACAAGTCAAAATCTCGAACAAGGCTCCAGTTGCCGATTGAACTACCACTTATTGCACTGACAAAGGGGAGGAAGCATTGTTTAGGACGCGGCCTGGCGGATAGGATTTCATTGATTGGTAGCAGCAAGCGTAAGGATAGGTACGAAATCTCTTCGATTGATATATTGTCGGGCGGCTTGCTGCCAAATTAACAGCATTAGTTTATATTGTTGCGGTCAACGGACGGAAACAGTATTCTTCTTGTGTTCGCATAAATAAATCCCAAGGAACAAGTCTAAAAAGAGCTGCTGACCACCCATCATCTAAACCATGTTGAGTTATTTTACATTTAAGATCTAACGTAAAAGAATCAATGCTTCTGAAGAATCCTATGGACTCATTTGCACCATAAAACTTGTTTTCACATCCATAAATCCTAGGTTCCGCTGTGTTGTTCGTCCCAGCGCTGCCACCCCGATGAACATGTATTTTATTGATGCAAGCCTTCAGAATGCTTAGAGCCTGATTAGATTAGACAGAGCTGCTTAGTGATGAAAGTAAAAAATAATTTCCATGGACCATAAAAAAAAGCTGCGTCATGTTCGGCTATGTTGGCGAGAACAAGTGAGTCGTTCTTGATTATATTAAAAACATAATATACACCTAGGCAATGCATTGCTTTCTATATGAATCTTTTTTGTAACTTTTAAAATAATATTCTAATTTCTTGATTGTTTGCCTTTGATTAAAAAATGCTTCCAACAATCATTCTGTTGTATTATCTTTCCGGATTTCGAAACCAAAACTACAGAGTAGAATTGGCTCTCTGTGGATTTGTTTGAAATATCGAATGTGTCAAATCATAATTTAGAGAGTGAATTTATATAGTTTAAGCATTTCAAGAGCTTTTCTTGGCCTTCACTTCTTAATTCTATATATCTTCTCTTGTGTTTTGAATAAAAATTCTTTAAATCTTTAGAAATCATAATATTGCTCTATATATGGTTTAAGGATGAAACAAACAAGGCTTAGAGGGTCGAAGAATTGGACCTGTTTTCTTCTGGTATTATTCAGTCGTTCCAGTATTTTTGTGCCTCTTTAGAGGGTTAACATTTTTCTTATCCTAGTCTATTTAATCCCCAACATTCCATCTACCGGTTTCTTACTGTTTCTTCATGTAAGATTCATAAGTACTATTTTTGACACCTGATCGATCAAGACCGCGAGGAGAGAGAGAACGAGAGTGGTGAAAAAATACCTCCTGTGATGGATGATAAGTCATGATAACATTAAATCCATTTCCGAGATAGAACCTCCATCATGCTGCTTGCATTGCAGAGGTAGCCAGCACCTTGCGTGCATGAGGCGCCGCCATGCATGTATGGGATGCATGGTGGGATGGAATGGAAGGTAAGGTGCAGACTGCAAGCATGTGCCAGAACACAATCTCTTCTCTTGGGCAGGAACGATTCATTCAAATTTCAATTCAATTTCTACTTCATCAGCAGAGAATTCGTGAGAGGACCAGCCGACCAGGTTTCTTAACTTTCTGCCATTGATCATGACTGTGGAATGGAGACACGATCGATTCAGAGGAGGAAACCTTAGCTCCCAAACACGAGACCAAAAACATATATGTGCAACCTCGATCTGCCTACACTGATTGGTATGGTACACACATCAAACTGGGGAGGAAAGTAAATAAAGGAAATATAATGCTGTGATTTGATTGTGAAAGAACAGCAGGAGGCAGGCAGACAGACAGACGAGACGACCCCGTGAATGTCAATGCTAAGCTAGTGCCACACCACTAGTTTGTTTGGCTGCTCTCACTTCTTGTTGAGGTCGATGCCGGCCTTGCGCGCGACGGCGTCGAGGCCGTGCTTCTCGATGGTCTTGAGCGCCTTGGTGGAGAGGCGCAGCTTGACGAAGCGCTTGCCGGCCTCCCACCACAGCTTCTTGTACTGCAGGTTCACGAACTGCTGCTTCTTCGTCTTGTGGTTGGAGAAGGACACCTTGTTGGCCCGGTTCGTCTTCTTGTCCGTGAACGGGCACACCCGCCCTGAACACACACAGCACACTCCATCATCTCGTCAATCAATCAGGTGCCGATTTATCTTTAAAATAATAAAATGGTCTGAAGATTAGCTGAATCAGTTACTAGCAGAGGAGAGGCGGAGAAGAAGAATGGAACAGCCAAGACGGCTGAAGATTCAGATAAGAGCGGAGGAACCACGAAATCCTAAGGCTCGTGCGTACAGTAAATAAGGGAAGCAAACGAACAAGGAAACAACAGAAAATCAAATCGAAATCGAAATCGAAGACTTACGCGCGACAATGGGCTGGAGCTGCTGCCTCTTGGGGAGGAGGGTGGAGTTGCGGCGCCGGAGGAGAGGGAGAGGCCGGCGAGCTGCGACGTGGCGAAGCCCAAGGAGGCGGAGGAGGCCCTACGGGCGGCGGCGGGCATGGCGAAGGAGGAGCTCAGCAGCGTGGCGGTCGCCATGGCGGATGGACGGACGGACGGGAATGGAATGGGTTCGTTGGATAAGCAATAAGCAAGAGGGATAAGAAGGAAGAGGCCGGGCCACTTGGGATCAGGCCAGCCGAGCCTACAAGTTCCTTTTCGGCCCGGCCCATTTCGCCCTCCTTCTCTAGTGATGATTATGGGCTGGGGGAACTACCATGAACAATTTCCTCTTATATATAGTATATCTCTGGCTCTCTGCATAATATTAAAGAGAGAATAGTTTTTTATTACAAGTGGCTATCTGTAAGTGTGATAGTCAAAAGCAAACTAAAGTTCAAACACAAACCAGGCATGTGGTCAATTATCATTTTTTGGAATAAATTAGAACCTACCACCTCAGTTTAACCAGCCCTGGTAATCAAATTTTTAGCTAGCATTGGTTGGGGTGCGCCAGGCCCTGCCAAAAGTGCAACGGCTGGGCGACGCGCGAGGGCCCCAGTGGCAAGCCACTGTGGTGGACCCTCCCCACAAAAAATAAATTTAATATCGAAGTGGGCACATGGCCCACGTATCAGATATTAAACTGATAAGAACAGATACTACACTTGATCTTAGCCAAAAGGCCGAGAAAGGTATGCCTTGGCCTGCTGCCCTGGGTCTCCTTGTATAGCCGAGTCCCTGCCTCCGTGCTGCTTGGCTGGGCGAGGTGGGACTAAAGGGGATGAAGCTGCACGCAGTGCGTGGTGCTTGCGAGTTGCGAGCGTGAGACTGCTGCGTCGGTCCAGTGCTATCTGTTAATGGGCTGCGGCCCAGCGGGCGTTGCCGCCTTGTCTACTTATTAGTAAGGCCCACTAGTAGCACATGCTCGAACTCTCCTAACAGAACGGGTGCTGCTTCATTTCATGAGTCTTTAAATTGAATCTTTTTTGTTTTTTTATTATAATTACTGTTTTATTTATACCGATTGTTATTACCGCTTCATTTCATGTTTCTTTAAACCGGGGAGACGACTTCAGATTTGACGGTACGATCGTACAAATGAAAATTGCCCAAAAAAAGTAATTTCATTCCACAGACCAAACACCCAGCCGTAGTCATCCTCTTTAACCCAAAAAAAAAAAAAAATCAGAAACTTACAGAGGTAACTGTAAATTGTTCCAGTAGTTTGTGCAATTGCCAGAGAAGGAAACAAGGTCATACGAGACTGGACACTGGGCACTTCTGTACTTCTTTCGTACATGTGCCTGTCTATGTTCATTATCCTGGTCCTCCTTCAAAACTGCAGGGATCAGAAACCCCCAGACATCTTTGAGAAAACAGCTTCTGTAGTCGCCATGTGCTTTCATTTTCTGCTATCAAAATGTAAAAGAACTCTACCCAACATTGAACTACAAAGGTGATATGCGATGGTAGGCCATGCTTGCCAGTGAACTATGCTTCAGGCCATAGAAGAAGTATATGAGGGCCCCAGCCACCAGCCATATGGAAACACGAATCCATGTGTGACTCCTGAAATCATTTGAGTTGAAACTTAAGGTCAAGATGATCTTCAGGATTCCGACAAAGCATAGATCGCTATCTGGAGATTCTGAGTTCAGACATCTCAATATATTGTAAACTAAATAGTTAAATTTTGTTTGGCTTCATAAAACTGCATATTATTAGCTTAAAAGAATATGTGTGTTGCCTGATCAAACAAACAGTCTTATGAAATTTGCACACCATGCAGACAATAGCAGGAATGTAAGCTATATTTTGCATAAAGGATGAACAAAAAAAAGATGGTTGTAAGCTATATTTCTTACCCGAGGTTCATAAGCAGGTATAAGTTGACGATGATGCAACAAATTGGAAGCAATGGGACCAACGGGCACATGAAACCTAGGAGGGACATAGCTAATTTGAGATTGCATTGAATTGCAAAACCATATTTCTCACTCAGAGTTCATCAACTTTACAGAAATGCTAAATGTCCATGTTCCTTGGCTTGTACCTCCAGTTTGTCCCAAAAATCTCTTGTCTTGTCCAATGCACAAAAGCACAATAGAAGAACTCAACACTACCAATCCGCCTACAGTGCATGCAATCGTTTGCACATAACTATAGAAAGCAAAACAGGATCAGATGATGTTGCCTTTTCCTGGCAAAAGAAAATAATAATATGCAGTTGTGGTCACACTCTTCAAGCTCAAGGAACAGTGTTCACAATTACTTTGTTTGTGCATTGTAGATATTTGAAAGAGTGCCCGCAGGGATACAGGAGGTGGAGACCTATCACTTACAATGGCAAAAAGGAGACAGAAACCGCAGAAATCAAGATGATGGCTCCGACACATATCAATACTATGCTTCCAATGGCTTTCTGTCGCCTCACTTTGCTGGCTACCTCAATGACAGTAAGTGCTTCTTGAACTAATTCCAGATACAATGGGGGAAAAGTCAGAAAACGAATTAGAGCATCTCTGTAATCATGAAGGTAAAGCTAGAAATGCTGTAATATGATATCTGAAATGATGGGATGCTGGTGCAGAAATTGCAAGCAATTCATACAAATTACAAATAATACTTGCAAGCATTCACACTGTAATAATTACAAATAATAATAAAACAAATATATCAAGGAAGCGCTGCTAATGTGTCAGCCAGCTTCATTATCAAACAAGAAGAAGATGCAAGTTGCTAAAGCGTTTCTAACGTTGCAGCCTTGCTGGTGCAGATAACTTGCTAACATATGAAGTTCAGCCAGCACCTTATTACAGTGTGAATGCAAGTTACTTGCTAAAAAAAGGCAAACATAGTTCCTGCTATAACTTGAACTTAACGGTTCATAAAAAATTATTCTCATTACCATTGCCAAAAGGATCTTCTGAATTTTGCTCATCATGCTCTAAGTGCCCAGAGAATGAAGCTAGTGACTCAGATGATCCTGCAAGAGCCACTTCCATTGGCATCTCATACGGAGGAGCATATCTTACTACTAAAACAGAAATGGCAACCGTAGTAAATGCCAATAAGGTTCCCATGCTTACCTGAACAAACAGATCAAGAAACTGTTATCATCTGGAGTACCTCTATATCCAGCATTGCTGCCATTTTTATATGATGATTAGCATATTACCATCCCTGCCAATTGGGAGACATCCATGAAAAAGGCCAGGATAGCAGCACATATGCCAATTAGGACTGTGCTCAAGATTGGCACTTGAGTTTTTCGATTAACATCTGAGAACAGTGGCGGGAGCAATCCATCTCTAGCCATAGCCATTATAATTCTTGGCTGACCAAAAGCAACATGTAAACAATTATGAGTCAGCCATTCAAGGTTTAACTTTTGATAAACGATTCTTCCTCAAATGGAATATACGATGACCATGCTACATTTCTACTTTAAATAAACCTAATGATTACTTTGTTTGTGTTAGTTTGTTTAAAACTGGTGGGTAACCTTCTCTCACCATTCCACTCTGTAGTTAACTGAATTCCACAGGAAGTACCTAATACTTTTACATATTACAACAAAACATACCCTCAAGATAGGCAAACATATTAATCATGCATGCCTTGTTACATATTTATTCACCACCATTTTCTCGGCAATTGTTACTAGATTAGTCTTGATGCCATGCTATCCACCTTATGGTGAACAGATCAATTTCAATGTGTTTGGTGAGATCATGTTGCACAAGATTGCTTGTGATGGTGACTGTTGATTTCTTTTTGTCATGTAACACCACATGTCATTTCTGAACACAAGTTCTGCCACCAAGCCCTTCTCATCATGCCACATTGGTCCTGGAACTACCTTGGCCTCCACCTCAGCTTCTATAATCTCCTCAATGGCCATGGACACCATGGTATCCTCCATAGCCACCACCATCAGAACATCTGAAAGCTCCACTGCGGCCACCACAATTCTCTGTGAAAGGACAGCTGTAGCTCAGGTGTCCTTTCTGCACACAACTGTAGCATTTCCTGCCATCAGCTATGGTGACCTCAAGGTTTGGTGTCAGTTCTGGCCTTTGAGTCGCTCCTCTTTTGTTTAATTTTCTAAAAGATCATTGATGATCTCACATATTTCATTTAACTACAGCACATTTCAAAACAGTAGTTTTTGCATTTCTTTTACTCAGTCCTAACAGAAGCAGGAAAGTAACTGAAATGAAACGGGGAACTCGACAATGCTTTGGTTCATAAGTATACCTGGGGAAGAATACCACCTATCAGGGACGCCACAAGAGCAAGAACAGCTCCACTGGAAACAACATACCTACAATTCAGTGGAGTAAAAATTGCTCAATAACTGACATAATACACAAGATGTGCAAATAACCTCCATCGCAGCTGGATCATTCAGCATTTCAGCTGGAAGGTAACCTGGAACTTACTCGGCCCACTGCATCCCATATCGCGCAAACGCAGAAGAAATAGGGGTGTCCGGATCCATCGCGTGGTACGGCACCAAACCGACCACAACAGCAGAAACCATCATGTAGAGGAAGCAACACAGGGACAAGGTCAGGCCCATTCCCAATGGAAGATCGCGCCGAGGATTCTTTACCTGGAAATCACTTTGGCAAACCCAATTAAAGGCGATCATGTAACTGGTGCGCACAAGCTGGAGCAGCATTTACAGGAACACAAATGACATTTTGTACATGAATGTAAGCTGACCTCCTCGGCCGTACTAGCAACTGTGTCAAAGCCAATGAATGCGAAGAAGAGGGTTGCTGATCCAGAGAGAACTCCACTGACACCATTAGGGAAATAACTGTGTACCAGACAAATAAGTTTCAAAATCCAAATAGGGGTTCAATGTACTGATTCGGCTATATGAATCAAGAAATTTTACTATACCCTTCTGGCACTTTATAACCAACCCAGCCATTCCTGAATCCTAGCCATCCACCAGCACAGATGACAAAGAGCATCACTATGATATTTGCAGTGGTGATGACGCCTTCCACAGATGAGCTCTGATGAGGACATAGCTCATACTTGAGTGTATAATTTTAAGTTGAAAGTAGCCAACTGTTGAACTCCAGAACAAGTGGAGTCATAATTTCATAGAACAAGAAACATTTTAATCTATACTGGAGCACAAATGACGACACAAAAAGAGTGTGGCATCAACACATTTCCATATTACTATCTGTATTTATCTGATGGATAAATGTGCTTGTGTCTAGAAAGGGCACTAACACACAAAAGAAAAACCTAGATTGTAGAATCCACACCACAAAGGTTCATGTAACTGCATAACTGAAACGATGGAGAACAAAATTTCCAAGACAAGTTGTAGGCTCAGTGCTAGTACCTCTTTAATTCCCAGACACAGTAATGCAGTAATTATCAGAACAAGAATAGCAGCACATGGATCAAGTGGGGTGTCAAGCCCTTTGACATGCACTTGTGCTAGAAAGAACGGCAACTTATCTTGGCCACCGAAAAATAGAGCCTGAAAAAGGATATTGGTGACCTTGTTATGAAAAGATCACTTCTCTGAAGAGATAACTTAATATAATAGATAGAATTACCAAGTTTGGCGACATGCCACGTGCCACTGATGATCCGCCAATGGTATACTCAAGGATCAAGGCCCACCCAATCAGCCAAGCAACACTGGACATAGTTTGTCAGGAAGAAGAGCAAAACGCTAAGGTGAGAGAGGAACCGACGTTTCTCCTAATGATGGATCCTAGTGTTCATGCACCACCACCAAGTAAGGCAGAGAGGGGGAAATAGCAAGAAACCGATGCCAATGTACATTTGCAGATGTACCTCTCTCCAATGCAGATGTAGGAGTAGTGATAGGCGCTCCCTGCTGAAGGGAAACGGCAGGAGAGCTCAGCATAGCACAATGCTGAAAGCGCCGCGGCGACGCCGGCTATCAGGAAGGAGAGCGTCAGGCCTGGCCCGGTGTGCTCACGAGCCACGGTTCCAACTAGGACATAGATGCCGGCGCCAATCGTCGAACCGACACCTGAGGATCATGTGCGTATGTTGAAGTGAGGCACATCTTGCATTGCCTAAATCTGAGAGAGTAGTAGTAGATTCAGTGAAAGCACAAGAACCCTCTCCATCCAGAGTCAGGAAAGAGACTGCATGCCCACTGAAACTGAAGTCCTAACCCCCAAGGACCTGTGCGTACCGATGGCGGCGAGGTGGGGAACAGATAGCGTCCTGGCGAGGCGCTGGCCACCTCCCCTGTCGGCGTCTTCAGCCCAGCCAGCGGAGCTCGCCGTCGCCGGCTTCCGCCGCACCAGGCACTGCAAATTGGGCCAGGAGGGGCCTCCCATGGCCATGCCTGATCATCCAAGGGCTGAATTGATGCCGTTGGGAGAAGGGGGATGAAGAAACTCGAGAGATTGTCAGGTTGTTGCAGTCTCGTCCTCCGCAGATCGAGATCGCTGCTAGCGTCAAGCGAAAGGTGGTTGACCTTCTCTGCTCTCTATGGAAAGGTAAGAATGACATTTTTTTATAGGACAAAGGGTGTAATTTGGAAGACTCTCTAATTAATAAACAATGAATGCTTCAAGTACGTACTACCTACAGACCGTTTGAACATGGAAAGTTCTATAGTGCAACAAGGCCATGGGGCTAACTTGTAGGAGCATACTCTTTTTAATTCTATATATGCTTGGAAAAAACTCATTATCTGCACACCGGAGTAGAGTAAGGGCAGTTCTAATGGGATATTTATAATAGTTTCTATCTAACTTAATTACCTCGACAATTGAACAATTTGCTGATGTGGCTAGCTGGACCCGCTGCGTCTGCGCAGGCTCGCGTGCGGCCAGTCGACATCGCCGCCGTGGAGCTCCGGCCATGGCCCGTCGCCGCTGCGCCGTCCTCCCTGCTCGACTCCGCGTACGCCACAACAAACGCCGTGGAGCGCGCCCGCAGCCACCTGCGCTCTGCCGTGCTCCTGGGGTCGTGGACGAGGCCACCTGTTCACGCGTCTCCCTCCTCCCTCGGCTCCCTGCGCACGAGGAGCTCGCGCGTCTCCATCTCCCTCCCCTTCGCATCTGCGCACTGGAGCTCGCGCATCTCCCTAAACCCTCGAACCAGTCGCAGCTCTTGCCGGCGGCGGCGGCGTCCCCGCCGCACGCGGGCATAGTGCGCGCGCTGCGGAACCCGTCGTTCTAGCATCACGCTCGCATCGTTATCCGTCCGATAAACTAGCAGAACTTGCTGTACGCATGCATGCCTGGCTGCTGCCGAAAGGACATGTTGATTTGCTTCTTTCTAGTGCACGTACGTGGACAAGCTTTGCTAGCTTCTTATCCCTGAAACGTGCTTGCACGTGAAGAAGACTTGCAAATACTAGTTACCTGTGTTGTTCTTTGCTGCGAGATGTTTCGATCTGATCTGCATAAAGCAATCAGGCTATATGGTTGCTTACCACAGTTGATCCATTCATTTTTTTGTGTTGCATTTAAGTTATCTCTTGTATAGAAATTATTGTAGGCTCTCTCTCTTTTGGAAACTGCATCAAGAAATTATCCATTGGGATCGCCCTCGTGGATCCTGTTTGAAATGCAGTGCACGTTTGGAAATTAGTTTAGGAGAAAACTGTAGAGCGGTAACAAAACAGGACCCTGGAGCTCAAAAGCAAAAACACGACAATGATTGTGCAGAAAACATCGTAAAGGCCCCCGTTCGCTTCATTGAAAAAACAAACCAAACACTATTTCGATTGATTTGCTGTAAAAGAAAAACACTATTCCAGCTGGAAAAAGAAGTTGAAATATACATCCTTCTGAACTACTAGGGCGCTCTCATGTTCCAAACACCTTAAAAAATAATGCAATACCGAACACTGTTCTCGTAGTCACCTAGCACGTTCATGTTAGCAACACATCAGGACACCGCAGTGCAGTAGCAGTCTCGGCGGTTTCTTTCCCTCATGAGTCATGATGAAAGGGCCAGATAACAAGTTGTCTCTCCGAGATATCCCCAGTGCAAATACAAATAGAACATACAACGCGTGTTACCCTTTTAGGGTACTCTTTTGCCCACAATTTTTGGAATAATCCAATTTCGTCAGTTATACATCTCAACTTACTAGTGATATGTAGCACTTCGATTGCCAGAAGGCGGGAAAGCCTGCCGTCTTCTTGGATGCTGGAAATTTCCCTCGTTCTCTTCCCCGCCTGTCTTTTTTGAAGCCATCCGCTTATCTCCAGAGTCTGGATTTATGGCCCTTGCAACCGCATCGTCTTTTCTCCTCTCAGCTTTGGGCTCACTAGACACGAGATTCTTTCTGGCTTCGGCATAATCAAAAGGGACCACCGGAACACTAAATTCGAATTCTCGAGGTGTCTTCTGATTCTGCTGAACGTTTCTTTCTTCGTAGAGTGTTCGGAATTGTTGCTTGGTACCAGAGGGGTCATCTGAAGGGGACTTTGACATCTCAGTGTCTTCAGTCTCACAGTGTCCATCCTCGTTGCCATTTTCTGGTGGTTGTGGCTCGTCTGTTTCCATGTCCAACTGTATCACTTCTTCCAACTGACAAGCTGGATCACTGTGTTTGATGCTTTCTGGTTCAGAATGCAACGATTCTTTCGCTGGGAGGACAGCTGATGATGGTTTTGCACCACCAGAGAAATGATGAAAAGGAAGTACCACGGAAGACGTTATCTTGTCCACCTTAGTCTTACCCTTAAGTTATCACACAAACAACATAAGTCAGGACAACTGTGGCCATCAAGCATTCCATATCAAAAGCTACCAGAGTGGTACGAGAACCCAGCTTAAATACAACAGCAAATCGAAGTTAATAAAGCCAGTAAATCAACAATCGGCGAACTTAGGTTCTACTATGTTGCGCTGATGCATGCTCATCAAAGAGCTGCAAATACCAAGCATGTCAAAACTCTAGCAATGCACTTAATGTTTCAGCAAAGCAGTAATTCGATTCATGGAAAGGGCATCTTCCTAGATACAAGGCTTCAATACCACCACCACTGAGATCAACAGTTCTGATAGAGAAAAAATGTACAACAGATAATACCTGAACATTTGAAACCCCTAGGAAAAGATCTGGCCTTCTTCCAGCAGCTGGTTTTCCAAACAGAGCTCCAAAAGCTGTAGGCCTCTTTGATACTTGAACAGTAGCCTTTGCTGCCTGGATAATTCAACTGTTTAAATACAAGGCCAGAAATACAGAGGAACATATGTAAAATGATTTTTTCTTACTTGCTGCTGGTCATTGCTCAGTTTTTCCTCATCTGCCGGTCCAGTAAACACTGATGAAGTACCTGAATCCTCTAAATGCGCAACGTCCTCTAAATGCATATTACCCAAAGAAGCTTCGCTTGTAATAGTCCCCATACAGGGAGCAGCACCAACATCTGTAATCACTGCAGAAACTACAGCAGATCCATCATTCGGATCTTCAATGTTACCAACATCAACAGCAGGAATCATTTCAGTGTCCTCACTGCTGTTCTTCACATCTGCCACTGTTAACTGCAGAAAACCATATTTTCAGTTCAAATGAAATCCAGCAAACTGAATAGAAATCTCATAGTAAAGTGGAAGACATGTTAAGTTAAAATCAGATAACAACCTCTTCCAGCTTTCCCTTCTTCAGCTGCTCCGCTATACTTTCAAAAGCACCCGAAGCTGCTATGGCATCCCTTATATTGTTAATAACATCTTTGAGACTGCGCTCAAGAAACGGATTTCTTGATTTAACAATTCTTTTTAACTTCCCACTTGTGACAGGCATCTCCTTTGCTATAAATCCAAAAATCAATGGCAAAGTTATTAGCCAAGGCAAGCAAAGCAATACAGCTAAATAAGTTGAGATTAGTAATAAACCTATCTCAAGTAGAGTCCTATTGGGTAATATATAGCCAGTGCTCTCATCCTCAGCACGGGCAATGCCATCTCTCCATCGATATAGACTCTGGGAGGGAAAAGGAAAAGAAATTAGATGACAGGTAATAGAATGTTTTTTTACAATTACTTGCAATGTTGCGGCCTGGTTAACGCCAGTATGATGCCCTGAAAAGGAGGAATAATGTACTTACGGAAAGAACTGACAGCTGTCTTGCGTTCAGCTCGTTTTCTTTCAACCTGCAATTGAATAAACAAATATTACAAAACTTCAAAAGATTTTGTAATCTATTGAATAAAGCCGCATTAAAGCAAGCACAATACAGACCCATGTATATGTAGATATGATGTATCAGTCAGCTGCTCCTTCTCATATAGTTGCAAGCAAATGTCATTGCTGCGCTTGCAAACCTGCAGTAAAATTAAAGAAACATCAGTTTAGTTGCTCCTGCCCGTATGATGTATGGTCACACACAGGAAAAGTGAATCTGTAAGCAATAAGGGTGGAATGAGAAAAAATGCATGTGATCAGTGTTCAAAATCAGTTAATAAGATATAAAAACACACATTGAAGAATGCAACAACTCAGGTAAGTAAGAAGCGAATCTTAATTTTAAGACATGCTCCATTTTATACAATAGGACCTACCACACTTGTCTCACAGATTAATAAACAGTGAAATTTAGTAGTTTACATATGAAATAGAAAAAAGAAAAGAAATGTCCACCCAGCTAATATAGATAATTGATTGCAGAGCCAGCTGCTCCAGTGCCCTACATTAATCTATAGGAGAATACCAGAGGAAGAGAATACTGAGCAAGTCCAGTAAAGTTGGACAATAGATAGGGAAGACGGGAAAATGCACTAACGAAACAAAGATTTACCTCTAAAAGAAGATCATTTTCACCTGATGACTCGTTCACTAGTCTCAATCTCATCAGGTCGTATATATATAGCAGATAGTGTGTATCCTCTCTAGCATATCTGCACACAGCAATCACAATGAGATACACTTGGTGGAAATTATTCTCTGGAGTCAGAATGGAAAATGATAAAAAGAAATATTAAAAATACATGATATCAAAGGACAGAATATCAATGCACCGTACTTGATCATTTCATCAGGAAGGGGCCTCAATCTCCAATCAGCAGCTTGGTATCTGCAGGAAAATGTATATCATGCTTTACAGTTCCCAATTTCCCATGACATGGAACCTGTAAACTAGAAGCGTTAAGGAGGTAAAAAAATCACGCACTCTTTATTTGCGGTCACTTCACAGAAATGGTGCAAAAGATGCTCCAAGCTGTTGCGGTCCATCTGCATGACCTTTGAAGCCTATTTTAAGTTGGAGGAAAAGATCAAGTTTCAGTTAACAAAACATTAAGATGACGACTAAGGGGCGTGCCCGGTCTGGAAGGTGTCAGAGAGCTCCCGCTCACAAGCGAGTGCAGGAAGGGTGTCGATGGCAAGCCTTACCCTACATTGCGCAAATGCGAGGAGACCGCGACTGTCGAACCCGGACCTTCCGATCCACAGTGGTAAGACTCAACTTGCAAAATGGGCTCGTTCGCGGCTGGCCGCTAACCCGCCTCGCTTTGCACATAAAAAGTTTATTAGCGGGCTTGCGGCTTGCCACAAAGCTGCGGATCTTGCGGACAAGTGTTCCGCGGACACAACAAACTTGTATGCAAAACCCGCAAGACCCGCAAGAGGCGGACAAGTGTTCCACGGACTCAACTCAAAGCTCAAGGAAGCACCTGTCCATCTTGTTCACAAACATGAGGACTGGCCTAATCCTCTCACCAAGGGTTTGGCGGAGCACAGTTCGATTGCTCTCCTATTTTGATCCAACGGCTGAAACACGAGCCGCCGCTAAGGTCGTTTCCGCGCCTTCTGAAAAAGCGTCGTGGTACCGACCTATCGCCGGCTGCATATATCGCAGTTCGCAGCGACTCTTCCCGTTCCACAAAAGCGATTTCTTCAGTTCGTCCCCAACGCCGGACCTCGAGAGGTTCCCGTGCTCTTCCAAATCTCGAGTTCCAAAAGCGAAAGCGGTAGCGGCAAGGACGGACGCGCGCTGGATTTCTCGGCCGGTATGTTCTCCTCCTCGCTTTGTATTCCATGCTCGTCAAGCCGTTGTTGCCTTGCCGCTGTACCACAGCGCCGTCGTACCGCTGGTCACCCAAAGATGCTGCTAGAACTCTGCCGTTTTCAGATGAAAAGCGGCGAAGCGGCGTGGGCAAAAAAAGCGACGAGAGAGCGAAGCAACGAGCGGCGTGCCGGCCGCGCAACCAGCTCGCGGCCCACGGGCGAAAAACTGCAGCGCGCGCCCGGCGCAGCCTGCCGGTGCGGCCGGCGCGGCGGCACGCAGCGGCGGCGGCAAGCGGCGTAAACGAAAATGCGGCGCAAGCGACTTCTTGTGAACTGGCAGTGCGCGGCAGTAGCGTCGTGCGTGGCGTGCGGCAACTGCTCGCTCGTCTGAACGGCGGAAGGGAGAAGCGAGAGGAGGAGGTTGTTGCGGGTCTCGCGGGTTGTTGCGAGGCTTCTCGCTCGTCAAGCAGGCTCGGTGGGTTGGAAGTCTTTGGGCCCGCGAAAAAATCGCAGCCGGTCCGCAATGCCCACGAAGCCTAGTTTTGCGGAAGCGGCGGGCGGAGTTCGTTAGCAACCCGCCCCGCCTGCAACTTGAGTAAGACTCTACCGCTTGCACCAGGCCCGCCCTTCATTAAGATGACGACTAAGTATAACAAAAAAAATGACAAGTAAAAGAATCAGAAGTAAAATGTATGAACTATTGACATAATCATGCTGTGTGCACCATACCTGGCCTGTGTCAAAAAGGTTGCACACATATATGCTGAAGTCTCGTTGAAGCCATATTATATCACGACCTGCGCCATGCATTACCTATTTGTCATAAGACCAATAAGAAACTACAGTTTTAGACACATTACAAAATATAAATGTATAGAAAGCAAGTATATTGCACCTTTTTCTTGGTTGGATCTCTGAAAAAATCTCTAGATAATCACCAAGATATTTACGAAGCTTAAGAGTGTCAACAATAAAGTCCTCTGTTCTTGTTGAAATCTGCATCAAACATGTCAAACCCTGAAACGACCTATAATGGTTGTGTTCCAAATCGACCTGAAATGATCAGACAAAGGGTCAAAATATTTTAATTAATAAACAGTGCTCAGTGCATAGATGCATAATCACGCAAAGAAATAACTTTTACGACAGCACAACATAGAGAAAATAGGAGTGCATGTAATTTCCAAACATTATGTTTAACAATGTAGAGTAGAAATCTCTTCTAGAAAATGTGATGCATCAATAAATGGTGAAATTCAACCAAAGTATTTTGAGTGATAAGACGGTAGAACTAACAAACTGCCAAGGAATCTGTTATGGTCGGCAGAGTCTATAGACGCCGAAGTGGCTAGGCTCAACCGATTGAGAGTCATTAGAGTTTAGTTAGTTGAGATTACAGAGTCCTAAAAGCTAGGGATAGTTGGTTAAGTTGAGTCCTATATGTATCAAACTCTATGGATCAATAAAGGGAAGCCTGGGATTGTGACTACAAGTCACCCTTGGGCGCCCGGCGTCTCCCTGTTCATCGTCACCCCCTTGCCGCCGCAATCACAATCACGGCTCCTGCCGGCCGAACCCTTGCACGCTCTCACGCTCCTCGATCTCCTCCGTACTTCCTTCGAAGTAAATCCCGTCGCCATACCAACCTGGTATCAGAGACCATGGCAACATCCGGGGACTCATCGGCGACGGTCCCTCCTTCCTCCGCTGCTCCCACGACCGGCGTGTCTGCCTCCGCCGTGCCACAATCCGCCGTGTTGCTGCCGATGGTTGGCACATCGGGTACCCTTGTGCCCTATCAGGCCGTCCGCGTCCCAACCCATGTCGACCGCGGAGGCGCCCAGCGGTAATTTGCAGCCATCGCGGGCCTCAACTCCGGATGATGACACCGTCAACCACCACCTAGCGGACCAGGGGTGCCCGGCTTTGGCTTCGATATTACGGCGGCCGTTCCCATGAATTTGGCTTGCCGGGGTTCGGTGGGGTCCCGGCCACTACCCATGACCTCCGCTGGCGGTGATCTCCGAGGACGCTGCGGTGTCGCGGAATCCATTGTGGCGCGCCGCATGCGTCTGCGCCATTATCATCTCCAATGTGTAACGATCGATCGCGCCGCTCCACCACCGTCGGCGGGTGTGCCATCACCCAGATTAATTTTCCGCGACTCACCGTCACCACCGCCGCCGCGTGTTCTCATCTACAGGCTGCCCTACGTCTCGGCCAACCGACGCGTCGCACATGTCCTCGGCGCCACCATATCCCATCACCGCCGGAGGTGGAGGGCGTGGTTGTGCCAAAGTACCACAAACTCACGTTACCACCTCGACGGCAAAGAGGACCCCGCTTCGGTGGCTCAACAAGTGTGAGCGAGTTTTTAGTGGCGGATGACACGAGAGGTGGACAAGGTCCTGCTCAGATCGTATCACCTCACGGGCGTGGCTCAACGGTGGTACCTGTCTTGGAAGCGACATAGGCCGCCCCATCGCGGCCGGACTTCCGTCGCATGTGTCGGCGGCTCCGGCTTGGCCCGACCCTCGGCACCAACCACCTCGGCCGACTTGGCCCGGTGCCGTTTGAGAGGATCGGTGGATGCGTATATGGCGGAGTTTCAAGCCCGTGCCGCGCACGCCGCGATCTCTCTCTCGCTGCGCTGCAGCGCGCCGCGCGGTTCACCGGCGATCTGCGCCGAACACATCCGCGTTGACGCCGAGCTCCTCGAGCCACGGGACTGCTGCATGCATGCCATGCGGCTTGCTGCAGCGCTTATGAGCGCCATAACGCCTCGCGAGCTCTGCCTTCTTTTGGCACCGCGCTTAGCGCTTAGCCTGTGTGGCGCATTACGCAATGGCACCGCCAGCACTACACCGGCCGTCTCAGCGCCACTTCTTGACATCGGCGCCACGCACGTTCAAGCGCCTCACACCGGAGGAGATGGCGGAACGGCGCAAGATGGGCTTATGCTACAATTGCGATGAACAATACATAAGGGGCACAAGTGTGCCAGGCTCTTCTACCTCGAGGCCTCAGTTACATCGTGGAGGCCGGATGACACGGAGGAGGGCGCCCGCCGCATCGCCATTCGACCCGGCGCCGCGCTATGATCTCTCTCTCGCCATCACGGGCATCCGGGCGAAAAAGACCATGCGCCTCCGCGTCGCATTGGCGCACACTGCTCACCGCTCCTGACTCGGTTCAACTCACAACTTCATCAAGCCAGAGGCGGCTCGGCGCGGACCTGCGGCTTCAGGGGCGCCACGGTGCACACGCGTGGTGGTGGCGAGCGAGGACCAAGTCGCGCGCGCGGTCTCGCTGCGTCGCCAAGCTCTCGAGATCGGCGAAGAAGTCTTCCCAATGGATCGCTTCTCCATCCCAACTGAGTGCTACGACATGGTCCTAGGGATCGCTGGTTGCGGACCTTGGGGCCGATCTGTGGGACTTTGAGGGTCTTCGCATGGCGTTAAATCCTCCGCGCTGCCGCGCGTGGACGGGCATTGGCTTCGCTAAGCGTGCCTCGCAGGAGCGGCTACTTTCCGCCACATCTTCGCCGGACAAAGGCGGGCCGACCCTCTGGGCCGTCTCCTCGACACCTCTGCCCGACGTGTTTGCGGAGCCCACATGGCTCCCACCCACGCGCCCTACTGATCATCCGGATACACTTGAAGCCCGCACACCAACCCGTCGCCGTCGGCCCCTGCTATCCCCACCTCCGGAAGGAGCCGGGAGAGGCGGTCGAGCGATGATGCTCCAGCCTCAATCATACGACAACACTTCCCCTTCTCCACGGCATCGCTTTGTCAAGAAGCGGGGACGGGACTTGGCGCTTTGTGTCGACTACATGTCACTCAACGCCGTGATTTGGTGAAAGACAAGTTCCCGATCCCGGTCGTCGAAGAGCTTCGGACGAGCTCCATGGCGCCAAATTTTTCACCAAGTTGGACCTCTGTCGAGTTATCACCAGTCGCGCCGACCCGTGATGTGTGGAAAAAGGCGGCGTTCCGGACACACCACGCCCACTTCGAGTTCTTGGCCATGCCTTTCGGCTTGTCCAACGCGCCTTCCACGTTCGGTAGCGCCATGAACCTCATCCTCAAGCCGTTCCTCGGACGCAGCGTTCTCGTCTTCGACGACATCCTCGTCTCTATAGTTCCATGTGCATCTCATGCCGTCTGGGCGCCCTCCGCGAGCATCGGTATGCATCTCAAGCGGTCCAAATGCTCTTTCGCTACCTCGTCGGTCCACTACCTTGGCCATGTCATCACGGTGGGGGTGGCCATGGACACGACCAAGGTGGCGGTTTGTCTGATCGTGGCAGGTACGCAGCGTTGGCCTGTGACCCGCCTTGCAGTTTCTCGGGCTATGCCGGCTACTACCACCGGTTCATCAAAGACTACGGCACCATCGCCACTCCATTGACGCAGCTCTTGCGGAAAGAGGGGTTTCGGTGGCCAGAGACCGCCGACGCGGCATTTACGGCCCTCCAAGGCGCGCTTGCCAGGCGGCGGCCAAATGCTCCATCTCCCGAACTTCAACGCCACGTTCGTCGTTGATCGCAACGTCGTCGGCTCGGCTTGAGCCGTCCTTCATGAAGACAGGAATCCCGTCGCGTTCTTGATGCGCCTTTGCGGCTTTCGGCACCTCAAAGCGGTTGCGCGTCTGAGCGCGAGCTCATCGGTCTCGTCCAAGCGGTCCGTCATTGGCGCCACTTATCTTTGAGGCGCGCTTCCGTCGTCGGACCGATCACTCGCCCTCAAGTTCATGCTCGACCATGCGCTTTTCGACAATTCCACAACATCATTGGGTGAGCAAATTGTTCGGTATGATTTCGATTGAGTACCGCCCGGCAAAGCGAGCGTGGTGGCCGATCGCGGTCCCGCCGATGACGGCGACACCCCGCTCTTGGCGGGTCTCTCGACATTGATCACGGAGATGGTGCGAGGCTCGCTGTGCCTCGACCATGTGGAAGCGGCTTCTGCGGCGTCTACGTGTTGACGAAGCGAGGCGACTCCTTTCCCAATGGCGAGCTTTGAGCCAAGGAGAGGCTCGAGCTTGTGCACGGGACTTGTGTGGCCCTGACACCGCCACACACCGAGGACGACGCTACTTCCTGCGCTCGTCGTCGACCTCTCCCGCTACATGTGGGTGATGGTCCTCGGCGGCAAGGAGAGGTCAGGCGGACGCCATCGGTAGCGCAGCGCGCAGTCTTCTGGCGGAGGCGAGTGCGGCCGCGACAGTCACAGCGTGCGTCTCGCGCCGACAACAACGGCGAATTCACGGCGGTGGTTCGCGTCGTCGTCAGAGTCTTGCTTGACGAGGGCATTCAGCGCCACTACTCCCGCGTCGTACAACCCTTAAGCAGAGCAGGCGTCGTCAAGGCGGCGCAACCGAGACGGTTGTGGGGATGGCTCGGGCCTCCTCAAGCAAAGGGATGCCACCGCCTTCTTGGGAGAGACGGTGGTGGTGGTGGCGTCACATCCTCAACCGCTTCGCCTACCAAAGCGCTCGGCAGCGAGGCCGGCACGAGGCTTGGCATGGCATGCGCATGCCGGCGATCTCCCACTTGCGGGTCTTGGTACGCCTCGCGTTCGCCAAGGAGCTTGGCCACATCGGCAAGCTCGGCGGCAGAGCACTCGGGAGTGTTCGCCGGCTCGCGGAGGGAGGCTCGAAGGCCTACCGCATCCTCGACCAACCGGCGCGTGTGCGCCTGCCGCGCGCGACGTTGTGTTCGACGAAAAAGCGAGATGGGCGTGGAACAAAGCGGTGGGCGGCGGCTCGGCTCCGACGTCGGCGACTTCAACTGTCGAAAGTACGTCCACTTCGAGGGAGCTGGGGAGTAGCGCGGCTTCTTCTTGAAGCGCGTCTACCCCATCCCCGAGCCTCCACCGACCCCGGCGCCTGCTACTCCTATAGCACCACGCTCTCCAGCCAGGACCTCGGCTACGATGAGTTCTTCGCCGGCCCCACCACAGCCGGCAACGCCACGCACTCCAGCACCGACAGGCACCACTCCGGGCACGTCTACTCCACCACCAGCTCGTGTCGAGCATGGCCCGATTGAGCTCACTACTCCGCTCTCTCATGACGAGGAGCGCGTCGACGCGTACCACAACGGCGAGCCGTTGCGGTACCGCACGATGGAGAACCTTCTCGGCGACCAGCCGATGCCGGGACCGGTGCCTCACGACCTGGAGGTGCAGTTGCACCTTGCGTGTGACAACGGCGAGCCTCGGTCGTTTGCAGAGGCCAAGAGACACGCGGCATGGCGCGCCGCGATGCAGTTGGAGATGGATGCGGTTGAGAAGAACCGCACCTGGGAGCTTGTTGACCTTCCTCGTGGTCACCACGCGATCACCCTTAAGTGGGTGTACAAGCTGAAGAGGGATGAAGCCGGTGCCATTGTCAAGCACAAGGCTTGCTTGGTGGCACGAGGTTTCGTCTGCGGCAGAGGGGTCGACTTCGACGACGCCTTTGCTCCCGAGGCACGGATGGAGTCCGTCGACTCTCCTGAGCTAGCCGCCGGAGAGGGTGGTGTGTTCATCACATGGACGTCAAGTCGGCGTTCCTAACGGCGACTTGAAGGAGGACGCTCACGCACCACCACCGGATTTGCGATCCCCGGCAAGGAGGGCAAGGTGCTCCACTGCGCGCAAAGCCCTCTATGGCTGCTGGCGAGCATCGAGGGCGTGGAATGCCAAAATCGGATTCCACGCTAAAGGGATGGGCTTGAGCAAAGCCCGCGACGGCGCGACCATCTATCGACGGACGATGGAGAAAATGTTCTGCTTGTGGGTGTGTCTCGTCGACGACTTGGTGATCACCAAAGACCAAGGATGCGGAGGTGGCGGCATTCAAGGAAGAGATGAAGGCCACTTTCCGGATGAGTGACACAGGGCCTCTCTTTCTACACGGGAATCGAGGTGCACCAGATGACTCGAGATCACGCTTGACGGCATCACCCTCGCCAAGCGCGCGCTGTTGAGCTAGGCTGGGCTCACCGATCGCAACCCCAGCTCTCACTCCGATGGAGAGGGCTAAAGTCGAGCCGCGACAAGACTGACGGAGGAGGAGGTGGGCCTTCTGCAAGATCTGCGGCGTCTTGTGGGGAGTCTTCGCTACCTCGCCCACACACGGCCGGACTTGGCATTCTCCGTCGGCTCGTTAGTTGGTTCATCACGCGGCGACCGAGACGACGAGCACAAAGCAGTCAGTGAAGAGGATCATCCGCTACGTTGCGGGGACTCTCGACCACGGCCTCTACTACCCTAGGTGCCACAGGCGGCACACTTCGTCGAATGCATAGCGACAACGACCACGCCGGCGACATCGACACCAAAGAAGAGCACAAGCGGGATCCTCTTCTTCCTCGGCAAGTGCCTCGTTAGGCGGGCGATCGGTCAAGCGGCCAGTGGTGGCCTGTCCATTGCGAGGCCTCGTACATAGCGGCCTCCACCGCTTCGACTCAAGCGCTCTGCTCGCTCGCTCGACTACTTGGTGATCTCCTCGGCGAGAGACACTAGAGCGGTGGAGCTCGGGGTGAACAACAAGTCCGCTCACGCCCAGCAAAGAAAACCCGTCTTCCATGAACGCAAAGAAGCACATCCGGGTGAGGTACCACTTCATCCGAGGCTTGTTTGGAGGAATGGAGCATCAAGGCGAAGCTACATCAACACCAAGGACCAGACTTGCGGACTGCTCACCAAACCCCCTTGGGAGGATCAAGTTCCTTGAGCTCTGCTGCTCCGGACCGGATGGTTCAACTTTCCCACAAGACGACGCACAAGACTTAGGGGAGAATGATGGGATAAGTCTCTGTTGGCGATCTTTGTGGGGGTTGGCTGCAAGACATCTTGACATAGGACAACATCCTTGCAAATTGTCTTGGATCGAGAGAGGATAACATCCTTGCAAATGCCTTGACCGAGAGGACATCAAAGAACATCTTAGCTAGGACAGCATCTTAGAAGACAGCATATTAGCATCTTAGACTAGCATCTTAGCATATGCTTGGCTGGCTAGCAGCCATATAAATATGTATCTCCAACCCCTCAGGTTGGCATGGCATTTGTATGAGTTTGTGTGAGAAATAAACCAAAAAATTGCCCCAACTCCTAGTGTCATCCTCTCTCGATGAGAGTAAGAATTCTACTACTACCAAGAGTGAGAATTTAGTGACTAACATTTTTTAACGCTGAGGTGTGGGGGAAGGTGGGCTGACGGTGAGGAGCAGCGCTGCATTGCAGCCAGAGTACGGTGTGTGGCTCCCTGGGGCTCCACGAGGGTGGCAGGCGCTGGTGTGGCGGGCGTGCGCTGGTGTGGGGGGCGGGCATTGTAGCTAGGGTATAAAAGGCCGCCTACACACCCATGTAAGGGATTGAACATACAATAGAGTAGCAAAGGGATCCAGCTCACCCACTAAGAGCATGTTCTCGTCCTCTGAACCCTTCCGTCGAACTCTAAGCTAGCTTCTTCTGCTGGTCTGTTGTCGTTCATCACTGGCAGATCTTCATTGAGGCCAAAAGGGCCTCCCCCACCCCCACCCACCCCCCCACCCCTTAAAGTTTTATACTTAAACATTACTAACCTAGCTCTTTTAGCACTAGTGGCCCCCCTCACATTTATGTGAAGCTTCACCACTGCCATTCATCCGCCGACATTAGGTTGGTAGTGCAGACTGACCCTTAATTCTCAATGTACACTTACAAAACAGAAATTCTCAATGCACATGATAGCACCAGTACAGAAATTAATGTTCAACAGCTAGAACTTAAGTATGATGACACACAATGCTACCTTCAAATTCCTAATCTCAGATGAACTTGGACACAATCAAAGTAAACAAGCCTCCTGAATACTCACAGTAAACAGTATGAACTTAAGCATGATGACAATTATATCTAAGTAAACTGTGTGACATGCAATTGTCACAATCATTGATCTATTGGAGGCATCAACAAGGAAGAAGCACACTTACAGCAAACTCAGTTGCATTATTCAACTTTGTGGCTAGCACCTCCAAGGTTTTCAGGTCTTCAACAAATGTAAAAGGAGTGTCATCTAAAGCAGGTGGCTTAACTGGCTCACTATCAGGAGCATTTCTGCTGATTAGTTGTTCAACAGGGAGTTTTTCCTGCAAATACAGGACATGCATGCAAATTAATTGTTTTGTACCAGAACATGGACAACAGCATATACTTCTCTAATGCTGAGGCTAAATTTGTGATGACATGGTGACGAGATTTTCTGCATGCATGGATTTTGCATCCTATCAAGTCGCCAGGAATGAATTGAATGTCCCCCCCCACACACACACACACCCAAACACACACTATTTTTGAAATCCATTGTGTTTCCATAAAAACCAAGCATAATCAATTCATAATAATGTTGCATTGATTCTTCAACTATATGGTTGATACGCATTTTCACATGATCCATCACCAGACATGTAAAACCCATTGATCCTATGTACACGCTACCAAACAGAAAAGCGCTTCTCTACATCTTTATTCTGTCTTTAAATTAGTCAAATCAAACACAACATACAAACAGTAAGCTGAAGTATTATTTCTGTGTCTCGGTGGGTGAGAATCAGATATTAAGAAAGTGGCATTGCTTTGATGTGAGATTAACAAAAATTGTGCAGAGAAACACTAACCAATGGGTGCACGACACGAGTGCCATCCTCGCTGCGCTCAAGCAATACATGCTCGAACGGCTTGCTGGAGTTGTCCACCACAATGCGGTACACATCCTGCGGCCGTGGGATGGTTCGGATGTGGAAGGGCACCTTCGCCTTCACCCCCGGCGCGGCCGCCTTGTCCTTGGTGACCATCTTCACAGAGCCAGAACCCCCAAACGCCTCAACTCTTCCAACGCGTTCCTCACCCACATCGCCCACCTTCTTTTTCTTCTTCCCGCACACCACTTGGAACCCGTCCCCGTCCCCGTCCCCAGCCTCCGGCGCCGCCCTCCGCCCGGAGGCCTCCTCCTTCTCCCGCAGCGCCTTGAACTCGTCCGTGGAGGCGCCGAAACGCTCGAGCAGGTCGTCGTTGAGGGCGACGAGCCAGTCGTGCGCGTCGTCGAGGTCGCCGCCCCCGGGGAACGGCTGCTGCTGCCGCGTCGGGAGAAGCGGGGCCGCGCCGAGCACGCCGAGGGAGGCGTCGGCCTTGGCGGCCGCGGCGCCGACGGGGGATTTGAAGGCCGGGAAGTTGTTGTAGAAGTGGAAGTCGCGGGACGAGGGGAGCGCACGGGAGCGGGCCAAGAGGCGGGAGGCCGCGGCGGCGAGCGGGCCCGACGAGGCCTCGATGGCCGCGGCCGACTTGTTCTGCGCCCACGGCGGGGGAGGCGGCGCCGAGGCCTCGTCCGCTTCCATGGCGAGATTGAGTGGGGAATGGGGGTGGTTTAGGGATTTATGAGAGAGGAGGCCGCCGCCGCCGCTGGCCTGCGAGTGAATTCAGCGAGCGAGAGCAAAAAATCGCTTTTGGCCGCCGCTGGCGTTTTCGCTAGGTTTTCCTTTTCTGCTTCTTTTGTGTGTTGATGAATGAACTGCCGTGAAGTTTTGTGTGCCCGCACAAACCGAGAAGCTCATGCAAATGTGGATCGCAATCATAGTGTTCAAATTCAGACATTCATTTAAGTAACGGGTTACCGTTGCAGGCATATTCATTTGAATTTATCAGCTGACTCATCAGATATAGTATTTTTCTTTCACAACAAAACAGTTTCAGCCAACTTATCAGCCGGCTTTAATATCTGAGAGATCGTATTAACAATTGTGATCTGCGACAATAGTTCCATTTGGTCATCGTTTGTGATCATGTACTGTATTGGCCTTGTTTAGGTGCCTATCTTACTTTGATCTATGTTGTTTGTGCCAAGTTGAAAAATTAGAAGGTCGCGAGATAAGTTTTTGTATGTACTATTGATCAAATAGTGAATAAACTTTAAAATGCAGTTAAGCATTGCCTAGACCTCCAATATAAAGTTGAAATTTATAACGTCGTGTGAAAGAATTTATATGATGGATTAGTTGCAACTATAGCAGCATCATTGGATGAAAGCATTTAATATATGTGTTTCAGATTAAGCTACTGAATGAACTAGTATATTACCTGTGCCCCAGCACGTCCAAAGAGATCAACCATACATCCATAAACACATCATGTGATTTCATCTGGTTTTTCAAAAAAAAACCAAATATTACGAGATGTACTTGCTCCCAAATTTCCTTCTACTTCCTTCAAATTGTAAGCATTTGTTTGGATCGAGCTACTGAATGAATGATGAATGAGCCAACATTTGTTCGGTATAGGAAGACGTGGGAAGGAATGATTTTTTAAGGGAAAATTGTGTTCTTGCCCTTGTCTAGTAGTTCAATTGTGATTTTGCTCCTGCTTTTTCAACTTTGGTCCCGTTATTGATGCTAAAACTTGGCTAAAAAACAACGTGCTCTAAATTTGAATTGTTGTGAGAAAAAACACTTTGTTGGTTTGATGAACAGGCTAAATGAGAGAGGGGATCACAAACCTCGTCCACACAATCGGACAAACCAAACCAAAACCCTTTGTATTTTTACCCCTGCTATTTTGAAATGAATTGTCCGTTTGCCCCTGCTTTAGAAGTCGGTCGGATAGACATGGATTAAATGAATTAAAAAAATTATAAATCTAAAAAGCAAAGCAAAAGATGAAAGCATTTAATATGGCTGTGTTTAAGAAATGACCACACTCACCTCTATCCTTATCGCCTCATCCCAAATGAAGCACAGTCCCCTCATCCCAAGTCTCATCTGTGGTGGCATCCACCAAGAAAAACAAGCTTCAAATGGCGGCGGAAGAACTAAGAAGCAAGTGCTGCCTCTAGGGTGCAATCGTGGTAAAGCTCTAGTTTGATTTTGGTGAATTGATGAAACCATAAGTGCTAACCTAGTTTATCAAAGTGGTCATGAGATAGGTAGCACATTCCAAGTGGTGAAGCAAATGAAGATCATGACAAGATGATAGTGATGTCATGGTGATGATCAAGTGCTTGGACTTGAAAAGAAGAAAGAGAAAAACAAAAGGTTCAAGGCAAAGTTATAAGTGGTAGGAGCCATTTCGTTTCGGTGATCAAGACACTTAGCGAGTGTGATCACATTTAGATTTGATAGTCGTACTATTAAAATGGGTGAAACTCGTATCGAAATACGGTTATCAAAGTGCCATTAGATACTCTAACTCATTGCATATGCATTTAGCATCTAGTGGAGTGCTAACACCCATGAAAATGTTTGTAAAAATATGCTAACACATATACACAAAGATGATACACTTTGTGTTTAGCACTTGGGAGCAAGGGTTCGAAACTTCACCGACGGAGTGTGGATAGTCTGACGGTGCCACCGGCGCCCTATACAGAAAAGACAGGATTTCACAGAGTGCACCGGACGTTGTCCTCGTGGGACCGGACGCGTCAGGTGGCTAAACCTACGCGTCGGTCTTCGACCAGACGCTGGGTCACTTCGTGACCGAACGCGGAGTGGGTGCGTCCGATCCCGCTGACGTGGCAGCGTAGAGAAGAGGAGAAGGACCGGTCGCAGTTAAGCAGCTCTAGGAGCTCTCTGGACTCGACCGGACATTGCCCCTCCTGCATCTAGTCGTGATCGAACTGACGCGTTCGGTCGCAAATGGAACCTTACTGGAAACGACCGGACGCCAGTGATGGTGCGTTCGGTCACTTTGAGCAGTGCGTCCGGTCACAACTTAAGTGCACTGTTAACCGTTGAGATCGGACGATCAACATTTGAAGCAGGGGACACATGGCAAAAATCTGAGGACCGGACACTTGGGTCTTGCGTCCGGTCAAACCGACCGGTGCGTCCGGTCGCCTCGATTTTCAGTGGACTGAGGAGCCAAAGGCTCTATTTCATGGGGGCTTCTATTTAAGCCCCATGGCTGGCTCAAGCTCACCCTCTTAGCCATTTGCATTGACATAGCAAACTTATGAGCTTAGCTAAAACCCTCCCACTCATCTCCATCATTGATTCATCATCTTTATGAGATTGGGAGAGAATCCAAGTGCATTGCTTGAGTGATTGCATCTAAAGGCACTTGGTATTCGTGTTTCGCTGCGGGATTCACTTGTTACTATTGGTGGTTGCCACCACCTAGACGGCTTGGAGAAGCGAGGATCGTCGAGCAGAGGTCGGTGATTGTGTTCGACTCCGATCGCGGTGATTATGAGGGGTCTTGTGCCTTACCCGACGGAGCGGCGAAAGGTAACTCTAGTAGATTGCTCGTGTCATTGAGTTACCTCACTTGTGGGTTGGTTCTTACGGTGTCCAATTGTGTGGACAATGTTCGTGCAACGCCTCTTAGTTGCCGAACCACCAAGTATTAGTCGACACAACGAGGACTAGCGTGTCGACAAGCACGTGAACCTCGGGAGAAAAACATTGGTTGTCTCTTACCCTTTGGTATTCTCCTGATGATTGAATTAGTATTAATCTTATGATTGGTCTACTCCTCTACGCGGCGGTATAATCACTTTACTTAGTCATTTACACTCCCGCAAACTAGTTGTGGTAAGCTCTTTAGTGTAGCTACAATTGAGAGCTTGCTTTGTAGCTTAAGTTCATCTAGTGGAGCTCTTTAGTGTAGTAAGTGTGAGAGCTCTCATTGAGTAGTGACTTAGTAAATTGTGTGTCTAGTGATCATAGTAACTAAAATTATTGAATATGCGGCTTACAACCCTTGTAGAGCTAGAGCAAGTTTGCTTTTTACTATTTGTCATACTAATTAAATTGCTCCAGTTAGTTTGTAGATTTTTAAATAGGCTATTCATCTCCCCTCTAGCCATATTAGGACATTTCAGCAGCTGCCTCCTGGTCGCGGTGGCTGCATCGGCGGGGCGCGGGCTTCCTCTAGGCGGACGCGGGGCGCGGGCTTCCTCTAGGCGGACGCGGGTCTCGGCGTGCGCACGTCGGGCGGCGATGGCGCCCTACCGCAGGGCTCTGGAGGCGTCCGACCGCACGTCCCAGCATCGCCCGCCATAGGCCACACCGAGCGTGAGTAGCGAGCACACCAAGAAACAAGCGTGAAAATGGTCCGACTTGCCACGGATCCGCCAATGATACCATGTTAGCCTCAAGCAACAACATTGCACTGATTTGAGTCTTGAAGCGAGGGACGAGACGGTGATTTGGCAAGCTCCATGGATTCCTGCGTCAGCTAGGTCCTAAAGGGAGAAGCAAAGAAGCATGACCGAAAATCTGGAAGCAGCAGCCAGGCTTCAATACAAACGGAGTCGCCGTAGACTGGAATCTCGCATCTATGTAGTATGAGACTCAAATACTCGATCCCCTCACTTGTGTGCTCAATAATGTATATACAAGACTCAATCTCCTCTCTATTTTGTTCGATGAGAATACAAATTGTGTCTATAAGGTCAAGTTAGAACCGACCCCAAAAAAAGTGACCCAAAATTTCTATTAGAAACCGAACGCATTCAGCCTAGTCATAATGCTATCAAAATCATCTAAGTATTTGCAAAATTTTGAATATTTTTTTGGATATTAAATATGAATTGAAATAGTTGCAAGTTGGGCCAAATATATTTGATCAAATATAAATGTCTAATTCCCAAATCAGGAGCAAAATCACAAATAGGCATAACAAACAGGGGCAAAATCACATGGGTATTTCTGTCCTTTTGTATAAAATATAACACCGTTAGTGGAGGATGACATAATAGGAGCAAAGTGGTGCTTCGTTTCAAAAACAAAGGGGTAAATTCACAAATTCAAAAAACAGGGCAAAATCACAATTTCGATATAAAGCAAGGGTAAAAATGCAAGAGCCCCAAATATATTTGATCGAATATAAATGTCTAATTCTCAAATCAGGGGCAAAATCATAAATAGGCATAACAAACAGGGGCAAAATCACATGGGCTTTTCTGTCCTTTTGTATAAAATGTAACACCGTTAGGGGAGTATGACGGAATAGGGGTAAAGTGGTGCTTCGTTTCAAAAACAAAGGGATAAATTCACAAAGTCAAAAAAAAGGAGCAAAATCACAATTTCGATACAAAGCAAGGCTAAAAATGCAAGAGCCCCTTTTTAATAGGACTATCATTTCTCATGTGTTAGTTGAGAGTGATAGATTTTATTCTATTTTCTAGTTGGTAGAAGGATGAAACCAAATAAAATGGATGACATTTTACCGTGAGCAACTATCGAGTGTGGGGCCCACCTAATCATTTGAGGGGCCCAAATGTCAACCTAACTTTTTTTCTCTTATGTAAAAAAACAACTTCTTCCTCTATTCCTTTTTGTCTCCCTAGCACCGCCCTCTATCTTTGCTTGATCACCTCCATCCGTGAAGCGGCCTCTCC